TGGGCCTGGGCCTAGGCCTGGGCCCTGGGCCTGGGCCTGGGCCTGGGCCTGGGCCTGGGCCTGGGCCTAGGCCTGGGCCTGGGCCTGGCCTAGGCCTAGGCCTAGGCCTAGGCCTAGGCCTAGGCCTGGGCCTAGGCCTGGGCCTGGGCCTAGGCCTAGGCCTGGGCCCTGGGCCCTGGGCCTGGGCCCTAGGCCTAGGCCTGGGCCTAGGCCTAGGCCTAGGCCTGGGCCTGGGCCTGGGCCTGGGCCTAGGCCTAGGCCTAGGCCCTAGGCCTGGGCCTGGGCCCTGGGCCCTGGGCCCTGAGGCCTGGCCTGGGCCCTGGGCCTGGGCCTGGGCCCTAGGCCTGGGCCTAGGCCTGGGCCTGGGCCTGGGCCCAGGCCCTGGGCCTGGGCCTGGGCCTGGGCCTGGGCCTGGGCCCTGGGCCTGGGCCTGGGCCTGGGCCTGGGCCTGGGCCTAGGCCCTAGGCCTAGGCCTAGGCCTGGGCCTAGGCCCTAGGCCTGGGCCTGGGCCTGGGCCTGGGCCCAGGCCTGGGCCTGGGCCTGGGCCTGGGCCTGGGCCTGGGCCCTGGGCCTGGGCCTGGGCCTGGGCCTGGGCCTGGGCCTGGGCCTGGGCCTGGGCCTGGGCCTGGGCCTGGGCCCTGGGCCTGGGCCTAGGCCTGGGCCTGGGCCTAGGCCTAGGCCTGGCCTGGCCTGGGCCTAGGCCTGGGCCTGGGCCTGGGCCTAGGCCTGGGCCTGGGCCTGGGCCTGGGCCTGGGCCTGGCCTAGGCCTGGGCCTGGGCCTGGGCCTGGGCCTAGGGCCTGGGCCTAGGCCTAGGCCCTGGGCCTAGGCCCTGGCCTAGGCCCTAGGCCTGGGCCCTGGGCCTAGGCCTAGGCCTGGGCCTGGGCCCTGGGCCCTGGGCCTAGGCCTAGGCCTGGGCCTAGGCCTAGGCCTGGGCCTGGGCCTGGGCCTAGGGCCTAGGCCTGGGCCTAGGCCTGGGCCCTGGGCCCTGGGCCTGGGCCTAGGCCTAGGCCTGGCCTGGGCCTGGGCCTGGCCTGGGCCTAGGCCTGGGCCTAGGCCTAGGCCCTAGGCCCTAGGCCTAGGCCTAGGCCTGGGCCTGGGCCCTGAGGCCTGGCCTGGGCCCTAGGCCTGGGCCCTGGGCCTGGGCCTGGGCCTGGGCCTGGGCCTGGGCCTGGGCCTGGGCCTGGGCCTGGGCCTGGGCCTGGGCCTAGGCCCTAGGCCTAGGCCTAGGCCTAGGGCCTAGGCCTAGGCCCTGGGCCCTAGGCCCTAGGCCCTAGGCCCTAGGCCTAGGCCTGGGCCCTGGGCCTAGGCCTGGGCCTGCCTAGGCCTGGGCCTGGGCCTGGGCCTAGGCCCTGGGCCTAGGCCTAGGCCTGGGCCTAGGCCTAGGCCTAGGCCTGGGCCTGGGCCTAGGCCTAGGCCTAGGCCTAGGCCTGGGCCTAGGCCTAGGCCTAGGCCTAGGCCCTGGGCCTGGCCTAGGCCTAGGCCTAGGCCTAGGCCTAGGCCTAGGCCCTAGGCCTAGGCCTGGGCCTGGGCCCAGGCCTAGGCCTGGGCCTGGGCCTAGGCCTAGGCCTAGGCCCTGGGCCCTAGGCCTGAGGCCTAGGCCCTGGGCCTGGGCCTGGCCTAGGCCTAGGCCTGGCCCTGGGCCTAGGCCTGGGCCTAGGCCTAGGCCTGGGCCTGGGCCTAGGCCTAGGCCTGGGCCCTGGGCCTGGGCCTGGGCCTGGGCCTGGCCCTGGGCCTGGGCCCTGGGCCTGGCCTGGGCCTGGGCCCTGGGCCCTGGGCCTAGGCCTAGCCTAGGCCTAGGCCTAGGCCTGGGCCTGGGCCTGGGCCCTGGGCCTAGGCCTAGGCCTGGCCTAGGCCTGGCCTAGGCCTAGGCCTAGGCCTGGGCCCTAGGCCTAGGCCTGGGCCTGGGCCTGGGCCCTAGGCCTAGGCCTGGGCCTGGGCCTGGGCCTGGGCCTGGGCCTGGGCCTAGGCCTAGGCCCTAGGCCTAGGCCCTAGGCCCTAGGCCTAGGCCTAGGCCTAGGCCTAGGCCTGGCCTAGGCCTAGGCCCTAGGCCTAGGCCCTGGGCCTAGGCCTAGGGCCTAGGCCTAGGCCTAGGCCTAGGCCTGGGCCTAGGCCTAGGCCTAGGCCTGGGCCCTGGGCCTGGGCCTAGGCCTGGCCTGGGCCCTAGGCCTGGCCTGGGCCTGGCCTAGGCCTAGGCCCTAGGCCTAGGCCTAGGCCTAGGCCTGGGCCGGCCTAGGCCTAGGCCTGGGCCTGGGCCCTGGGCCCTGGGCCTGGGCCTAGGCCTGGGCCTAGGCCTAGGCCCTGGGCCTAGGCCTGGGCCCTAGGCCTGGCCTGGCCTAGGCCTAGGCCTAGGCCTAGGCCTAGGCCCTGGCCCTGGGCCTAGGCCCTGGGGCCCTGGGCCTGGCCTGGCCTGGGCCTGGGCCTAGGCCCTGGGCCTAGGCCCTGGGCCTGGGCCTGGGCCTAGGCCTGGGCCTGGCCTAGGCCTAGGCCTAGGCCTGGCCTAGGCCTAGGCCTAGGCCCTGGGCCCTGGGCCTGGGCCTGGGCCTGGCCCTGGGCCCTGGGCCCTGGGCCTGGGCCTGGGCCTAGGCCTAGGCCCTAGGCCCTGGCCTAGGCCTAGGCCCTAGGCCTAGGCCTGGGCCTAGGCCTAGGCCTAGGCCTAGGCCTAGGCCTGGCCTGGCCTAGGCCTAGGCCTGGGCCTAGGCCTAGGCCTAGGCCTAGGCCTAGGCCTAGGCCCTGGGCCTAGGCCTAGGCCTGGGCCTGGGCCTAGGCCTAGGCCTGGGCCCTGGGCCTAGGCCTGGCCTAGGCCTGGGCCTGGCCTGGGCCTAGGCCTGGGCCTGGGCCTAGGCCTAGGCCTAGGCCTAGGCCTAGGCCTAGGCCTGGGCCTAGGCCTGGGCCTGGCCTGGGCCTGGGCCTGGGCCTGGGCCTGGGCCTGGGCCCTGGGCCTAGGCCTGGGCCTGGGCCCTGGGCCTGGGCCTGGGCCTAGGCCTAGGCCTAGGCCTAGGCCTAGGCCCTGGGCCCTGGGCCTAGGCCCCTGGGCCTGGCCTAGGCCCTGGGCCTGGGCCTAGGCCTAGGCCTAGGCCTAGGCCTAGGCCTAGGCCTAGGCCTGGGCCTGGGCCTAGGCCTGGGCCTGGGCCTAGGCCTAGGCCTGGGGCCTAGGCCTGGGCCTGGGCCTAGGCCTAGGCCTGGGCCTAGGCCTAGGCCTAGGCCTAGGCCTAGGCCTAGGCCTAGGAGGCCCTGGGCCTAAAGGCCTAAGGCCTAGGCCAAAGGCCACAAGGCCTAGGCCTAGGCCTAGGCCTAGGCCTAGGCCTAGGCCTAGGCCCTAGGCCTAGGCCTAGGCCTAGGCCTGGGCCTAGGCCTGGGCCTGGGCCTAGGCCTAGGCCTGGGCCTAGGCCTAGGCCTAGGCCTAGGCCTAGGCCTAGGCCTAGGCCTAGGCCTAGGCCTAGGCCTAGGCCTAAAGGCCTAGGCCCTAGGCCTAGGCCTAGGCCTAGGCCTAGGCCTAAAGGCCTAGGCCTAAAGGCCTAGGCCTAAGGCCTAGGCCTAGGCCTAAAAGGCCTAGGCCTAGGCCTAAAGGCCTAGGCCTAGGCCTGGGCACAAAGGCCTAGGCCAAAAGGCCTAGGCCCTAGGCCTAAAAGGCCTAGGCCTAGGCCTAAAGGCCTGGGCCTAGGCCTAGGCCTAGGCCTAGGCCTAGGCCCTGGGCCTAGGCCTGGGCCTAGGCCTAGGCCTAGGCCTAGGCCTAGGCCTGGGCCCTAGGCCCCTAGGCCTGGGCCAAGGCCTAGGCCCTAAGGCCCCAGGCCCTAGGCCCCAGGCCCCTAGGCCCTGGCCCCAGGCCCCCAGGCCCCCAGGCCCCAGGCCCCAGGCCCCCAGGCCCCCAAGGCCCAGGCCCCAAGGCCAAAGGCCCCAGGCCTAAAGGCCCCAGGCCCAAGGCCCCAGGCCCTAAAAAACCCCAAACCCTAAAAACCCCAAAGGCCTAAAAAGCCTAAACCCTAAAAACCTAAACCCTAAAACCTAAAGCCCTAAACCCTAAACCTAAAACCTATTTTATGAAAATAGGATAATTTTTTTAAACTATTTAAATCTACGTGGGCTTAATTTGAACAAGCATGAAAGTATAGTGACCAATAATTTTATTTATGTACGATTTTCCAGAGGATTATTTTGGTGAGCTCTCAATTGTCCTCTCTTCGATTACACGGCTAATAGCATCGCCCAACATTTGTGATTGTCGAGCGTCATGTCGTCCAAATTACATGATGCATGGAATCAATGCAAATGCGCCCATATAATCAACCAGTATTGTATCACCAACTTTCAAAAGTATCGAGTTTTTCTTTATTCTTTTTCTTATGTCAATCAAAAAGATTTTACCGTTAGAATCAAGTGTTAAGTGGAAATCCCTATAAAAGAAAAGAATACAAATTTGCTACAACAAGTTCTCTCTCTCTCTCTCTCTCTCTCTCTCTCTCTCTCTCTCTCTCTCTCTCTCTCTCTCTCTCTCTCTCTCTCTCTCTCTCTCTCTCTCTCTCTCTCTCTCTCTCTCGCTAGAGAGAGAGAGAGTGAGATTTGATGGTGCTCTTGAATTTTTTCGAGCAAGTTGAGTTAATTAACGCCCAAAAGCCAAAAGCCCCTGTGGAGGAGTCGAAGCGATTGATAAAAGACTGTTTCAATTCTCTATAAAATTCTTGTTTTCCCATACAGATGTTCAATCTTGAAACGGTAAAGTTTCGTCAGTTTCACTTTGCTTATTGGAAACTCACCGCTCCATTTTAAAGTTAAGGGGCTTGTCGGCTGGATTTTCTGGATCGGCCCACGAAGAAGAAGAAGAAGAAGAAGAAGCAGCAGAGGCCCAGCATTTGGGGAACTTGATGAGATCGCGAATCGACTCGCGATTCCAACGAGTTTAGCGAGGTGACTTGTCATCCTGAAGCGATTTCACCCAACTTTCAATCCCAGAACAAGGAACGTTGCTTATGGATTTGAACGTTGCCAAACCCCAAAGGTAATTTTTGTCTCCCTCTCCCTCTCCCTCTCCCTCTCTCTCAGTATAGTTTTGCTTCTTGTGCAGCGAACGTTCCCTTCCGCTTTCTTCTTCTTCTTCTTCATTGGTCGTCCTGCAATTACTTCTTGTTCTTCCCATTCTTATTCGTATTGTGGCGCGCCCATATTCTCAGTTTTTCTTGGATTTTGAGGACACCCCCACCCCTACACCCATCTGGCAGTAAGTAATTCGTATGACTCAGTGGGATTACGGAGACGGTATGCACTCTAGCTTGTATGGGTTGATACAATTGATTCCTCTTGAATTTTTCGCTTTTATAGGTCTGGTGTTAGATCACTACCCCGTGTCAGGAAGGAGACCATGATTTTCCAATCGCGGACCCAAACTGCTTGGACCTCGAGAAATTTCTCTTTTTTTGCTTTCTAATGAAACAGCACAGTTGATACATTTCATGAATCTTCTTAAGTAACGGTTGATAACATTAGAATCCATGAAAACCCACGCCATCACGATTCCACGCCACCTGCTTGATGAAATTCCAGAAAGCATCTGCTTTGCAATGGTCTTCTCAAATTTTACATTTTTCTGGTCATACTGATACCATATACTCTTAACTCTGAATTAATCTATATATCCATGCTAATTCTGAACCCTAGAAAAGTGATCCTCCAGATTTCTCCTATATGCTCGCCTTGAGGTTTTGTAATATCTCTGGTACTGGCAAAACTAGTGTCTCGCCGAGCATTGAAGTATGTTTAATGCAACATACATTCGTCTCTCCACTATGACAGTATGAACAGACAAGTTTCCCCTTGGCCGTCCTCTTCCCTCCACTATTTCCTGTCATTCAATATCTAATTTTTTCTAACCACTCAAAACCCAGGTCGCTAGTATTCCTGTGTATGCTGGAAAACAATAGTTTTTTTGAACTTTTGATTGCAGTGAAATCAGATCTTTAGCTTTAGCTGGTTGAGTTGTCTTCTCTTTGGCAGCAGATACCTGAAGTCAGAGGCAGGCAGTCATTCAGCTAAATGGCGAGTGTCATATTGACGTTTGCTCCTTGTATTAGTACTAATTGTACAAGGAAGTGCAGCCCATCAAAGTGTTCCGTCCTCCTAGGATACTATGCCTCTTCTTGTACTCGTAAGATGGAGGACATTGTAGTATCCTCTTACCAGCCTCGTCATTGTCATGGTCGGCTGAGTTTACAATTTCGTAAGCCAAGTAAGTTCCCCTGCCTCATCATTATCATTGCCATCTAATTCTGCAAATAGATAAGCCAAATAAATTCCCCATAGGAAGTCTTAGTAGTTACCTTACCTATGTAATTCCTGTTCCTAATATAGGAGTATTTTTTTCTTGAATGAGGTACTCTTTAGTTGTTTCTTGAACCTTGGCTATAAAATTTTGTGTTTGTCAAATAGTTTATTACAAATTGCATGTTACAGCCGATATTGTTCAATTTTGAACACTTCTTTCCAGCTCTAACCTTGCCAATATCTGGTGTAGTCTTTCCTAGAGGCCATTCGTCCTTCTTCTCTTCAACAGCTTGTCAAGCAAAACAAGGGGATAGTGCCTTTAGTGGCGAAAACATTACACTAGATCAGCAAATTTTAGAGCAGGAGCTCCAAATTGCCATTGAGGAGGAAAACTATGCAAAAGCTGCAAAAATCAGGGATACACTACGTAGTATTCAAGAGGATAGCAAAGCATCCATGCTAGCAGCAAATGCTGAATTTTACAGATCGTTTAAAAATGGAGATTTATCTGCCATGCAAGCTATTTGGTCAAAAGGGGATCATGTTTGTTGTGTACACCCAGGTGTCCTTGGCATATCTGGTTATGAATCGGTCATGGATAGTTGGATTCATGTATGGGGAGACTATGAGTTCCCATTGGAGATTGAGCTGCGAGAAGTTAGAGTTCATGTTAGAGGGGATTTGGGCTATGTAACTTGTGTGGAACTGGTTAAAACCAAAGGTAACAGTTGGGGAGGGCAGTTTGTGACTAATGTGTTTGAGAGAAGTGATGGTCGATGGTTCATCTGTGTCCATCATGCTTCACCTGTCGACTTTTGAAGAGTGTTCGCTAAATTTTTTTGTTCATTGGCAAAATTGTCTATTTCTGATGGATCCACTGCTCTAGTTTGATCTTATCATGTTCTTTAATTGGTTGCTCGGTTTTTTCCCATGTTATTCACTCTTTCTTTAAACCGAGGGAATAGCTTTGTCGTGAATCTAATCACACAATAAATGTTCGGTAAAGAAGAGGGTGACCCTCACAGTATGTTGCTACAAGACAAAACAGAATTAGCCACTCTTTAAAGATCGTCGTTGTGTTGAAGTTTGTTGCGGAAAGTGTTCATCCCACTTGATGTGGCTAAGGGGATTTCCACGGTATCTCCCTCGTCTTCGAGTTTTTGATCAAAGAAAAGCCAATCATTAGATGGAGCGCCTCCCCATGATGGTGTCATCAAAATCTTATGGAAGTTGCAAATTGAACATAGATGGTTCAAGCAGAAGTTTTAATGGATTAGGGCCTTGTCAAACAATCAAATATCTTTCGATATTAGAATTTGATGGACCTTTATGCATTCATTGGATGTTGTATCTTAATCTCTACAAAGCTTTCGTAATGTAGTCACTGAAAACTATTTATCTCAACATTGGAGCCCTGGCTTCCTGGTATATAATCACAGTGAAACAAGTGATAGATTTCGATATTATTTGCGAGCTCATTTGATTGGAAGACCAGAAGGTGAACAATTGCGAAAATTAAAACTAATTTGGAGGTAAGAGTGTAGTTTGCAAGTCAATATGTGCTCACGTTCCCATTCTCTCATCTGTGATGTTGTGACGTATTGATACTTTCAATTTTCGACAATGATATGTGATCCTTCCCATCAAAACAGCATGGAAGTGAAGTATTGCTACCTCACAATTATAGAGGATCTGCTACGGTTGCAGATTCAAGCTCTAAGATGACTTTCTCCTCTTTCATATCGAACTAGGCTCCTGCACCTGCATTACTAAGGTTGGCTCTGGAGACCCATCTTGACTAAATTTTACTGCCTACTGGAGGAGCTTCGCATACAATGCTTATTCCTCAATTTGTGCACCAGCGTGTAATCTAGTATTGGAGAATGTAACGACCGTGGCTTTTCTGGTTCGGCGCACTAGTTTGATGATTAAACAACTCAAGCAAGTGCGATGTACTATGCATTTGTAACTTAAAACTCTTCTACAATTTGAACAAGAGTCATGAATCACATAATCATCTGCATGTGTACATAATGATGGCACTAAATCCATCTCCACCTCCTTTCATTCTACCCAACTGTAATTTGGCTTCTCTTTACTTTGATGGGATGATGTTCACAAACATATAATTGCATTAACTATGATAAATAGAAGTGTTTCAGGCCAACCAATTAATTCCCTCAATCCTGATATAAAATAAAAAGTAAAAGATCCAGTTTATTAATCCCGCCCGAATTCACCGTGTCATCAGTAGATGAACTTCCGGAGATCATTTGGGAATCCATGAAGCTAAGAAAGTCTACAATGCACCATAAAGGACCAAAGGAGAGGGTAGATCATTCAGCAACATTCCTATAAAGAATTACAGCTCTCAAGTCAGGAACCAGGAAAAAAGGACATTAACGAATCCAGTAGTCTCAGGGTTTTCCAAAAGAAGGGATTAAATCCCTTGAAAATAGCCTAAAGTACCAAACATTTCGTTTTCCGTGTAGTCAGAAGCTTCGATATCATATGCGGGCAGTATTATGTGAACTTCATTAACCCTCATAATCAGCCAACAAAACTTTTGCTTTCAAGTCAGGTGCAATCCCATGATGATCGCGTATGATGTATCCAGGCAGGCAGCAAAATGCTGAGCAGTCCCCAGCCCCAATTCCCATTTAATTACACTAGAACCCTCAGCTTAAGCACATTCCAAGCAGGAGTTCTCCGGCACTCCAAGTGCATCAAATGAAGAGGCAATTTAGGACTTCGCCGCCTTCTCTTCACTCGACCATACAAGAAGGTGGTATTTATGATTGTTTGCTTTACAAATGGAATCGAATCCCTTTAAAACTGGTGATTAAGCTACGATAATTTTAGAGAACCATACTTCCTCGGTGCGACTGCCACAGAATGCATCAACAGTGCACACCATTACCATTCATAGGTATGGCATTGCATGAGCCATTCAAAAACTTGGATGCATTTCCATTTATGCAACTTTTCGTGACCGAGGGTCCATTACTCATGCCATTGGTGATTGCCTTGCTTCCATAACATAAGACTCCATCCCACTGCCCACATGAAGCTGCTATAAGTCCTGTTGCAGTTGAAAGGGAACAACAAAACATTAAGGCAGGTTAATCAGAGGAAAGCTCAAATTCTGTAGATAGCAAACAAGAGTGAACTGGATTATGATATCTATCTTACCGGCACTGCCAAATAAAATGGTAGGACTAGGTGCCTAAGAAAATGTAAATATTCAAACTGATAACGTAGGAACTTCCACCATCTAAATCGGTTGATGAACCAATTAATTCTCCCAGTTCCAACAGAATAAATCTCTGACACAATAAGATTACCTTGGCAAAGACGCACCATCAAACAGGAAACACAACTGAACAGACCAAGCAAATTTACGTGCAGTGACACTATTCCAGAAGGATCGTGGATGCGTCTCAGAAAGTTGTCATTTAGGTTCATCAGTGGTTGCATCAGCACAAGATAGTTCACCCGCAAAATTAAGTGGAACTTTCTCTCTCTCTCTCTAAGACAGTGGTTACGGTGAACGACCGACAAATGTACAAATGAGTACAAAACCATGGAGACATTGACCTGTGCATGAACAGGGACGACAAACATTTTATATTCAATAATACATTACCTAAAAAGAGACCAGAAGGCTTTCCTGGCCTTGACTTAAACTCAGGGTGGAACTGAACACCTATGAAGTACGGATGATCAGGCAGTTCCACAATCTGCAGTCGATGTACAGAATTAAATATGAAATCAACAAGAAAGCAGAAGTACTTGATAGTACTAAAATCATCAGGTACCGCCACATTTATTAAGAACAAACCACAACTGAAGTACATATTATAAAAGTACCACGAATACTTACTTCCATGCGCTGCCCACTTTCATCCCTGCCAACAAAGCGCAGGCCGGCCTTTTCCAGTTCTGGTACAATCTCAGGATTTACCTAGGTGATATCAACTAAGCTTCTTAATGACCAAGCAAGCAAAAGAAAAGAAGATTACTCAGGACTGCTATGACAAGCATTTTTATGCTGATACGGATTCACCTCATATCTGTGCCGATGTCGCTCATCAACAAACCTTGCATTGCCATACCTAAAGGAATAAAAATTTTATGAATACATCAAACATTTTCGTGATACATCATCTCCTGTAAGAGTGACACGACCATATAAAATAAGATTTAGCCTTAAGCACTTGTTTATCCAAATTTAACAATCGTGAACATGAAAAATTTCATAAATCTCCCAATTCCTTACAACTTTGCAGATTTGCAGTCAGTGTTCCTAAAATAAGTTTTCCTGGATCCTAAACGCATTGTCGCTCCCATGTGAGTCTTTGAACCCTGATAAATGTAGCCCATGAATGGATGAAAATTAAATTAATAAGCCAGAAGGAATTATAATCATCATATTTGGTAAAATATTGTAGAAGTACTGCATACCTCTGGCATAAATAAGACACAAGGATTCTTCGTCTCAGGATCAAATTCTGTGCTGTTTGCGTCATGCAAACCCAACACAGATCTTGTAAACTCTATAACAGCAATTTGCATCCCCAAGCAAATGCCCAAGAATGGGACATTATTTTCCCTTGCATACTTTGCTGCAAGAATCTTCCCTTGCACCCCCCTATCACCAAACCCTCCCGGAACCAGCACTCCATCAGCACCCTGTGCACGAAAAACAGTTCAGTTGCTCAATCACTTGCAATCATGGAACTAGCGGGTATCAGCAAATGAGGAAATCAAAACTGCATATTGGGCCAAAAGGCTAGTAAAGTATAAAACTAAATGTACCTTCAATGAATTCCATGCATCTTTATACGCCTCAGGAGACTGCTAGGAAAACTTACTAGTCAAATATTATTGTCTATTGATCGTATACAATCTAACTACTATTTGCAACATACAACAGAACAAAAATAATAAGTCACGTAAGTAATGAGGTTCAGCTTCACCTCTTTCCAAGTGATATCCTCCAAGTCGCTAGCAGGAACCCAGTCTACAATAAGTTTCCTTCGGCAGGCAACAGAAGCATGTAAAAGAGCCTGCCGTATAACCCAAAGTATAAGAATCTTTTACAATACAACTTCTAAGCACTACACCACACACATAGATTCTGCGAGCATATTTTTGATAAATAAATCTGTCATTATGGACAGACCGCACATTTCCTGCCCAATGTGATAGAGAACAAAATGCCAATCAGGAAGGTGTTCCAGAAACTTCATTTTCCAAAATTATTTTAAAATGGAAACAAATGAAATTCTAATTGTTTTCAAAAAAAGACTCATTTGAAAAATTTTCACACTACTAAAGTGGTCGCATCAGACTTGAGGGGTAAAATGCGAACCCAACCAGCAAGAACCAAAATAATAGGAAAACGCAATAAAGCAAGTAATCAAATCGCAAGCATCGCAGAATCGTCCAAGAGACGTATTACACAAAATGCCCGCAAAAATATGACTCTTCAGCAAGCAAATCTCACCTTCAAGACAGAGAGGTAAGAATCTGACAGCCCTGTGTATTTTCCTACCATAGCGATTCGTACCTGCAACATGCACAAAAGAAAAAATGTGACAACTGATATCACATGGACAAATAAGCCAAAACAAACCAAAAAGAAGTTCAGGGCCCACCGGATCACACAACTGGTCAAAAATTTTTGTACGTGCAGTCCATTCCTCCAACTCCGGGTTCCTTGCAACGCTAGATAGAAATGGCGATATGTTGAGTGATACCCAAGAAAGCAGAACAAAGGGGCAAGCATTCCTTTATTGAATGAAAAAACAAAAGGCAAGGAAGAATCAATTCACATCACATACCCCATAAGGTTCAGTCCCTTCAGAATTGCTCCATGCGCCTTTTGGTCCTATTATGAGGGGTTGAAAAAAGGTACGAAGAAGCTATATTGAGCCTTTTGCTATGAAACAAATATAGAAGGCGTATGGTTTGAAATTTGAAGTTCTTAACTACTTACTCTTAGCAGCAAAGGAATGTGCCAAATGTTTGGGACATCATATAGAGTCACAATGTTTTCTACCTGAAATCAAGTTGCTTAGAAATGAATAATGATCGGTCAGAAAAAGGCCAACAAAGTTATAACCAATTAAGAGCAATACCGGCACATGGCAAAATTGAGAGAGCTTTCCTTTAACGTTCTCATCAAGCGCCTGTGACAGATGACCTGACAACTTTAGTCTACCATCAGCACAATTATCAAAAGAAGTGCAGAAATGATAGATGGGGCAAACCTTTGCACTTCTACAAGCTAGAATATTTGGGGTCAAACCCAGTCCTCTAAGACCTCGGACGCTATGCTGGGTAGGCTTTGTTTTCTGCAGGACAGTATCATAGAGGCTATGGTTAGCATGCCAAGGACAAAATTCAGGAACACTGTTAGTTACTAAATCTATATCTAGCATCTTAAGAAGTCAGTCAATTGACAAATTGATTCTAACAAAGATACCTGTTCACCAACAACATTGAGTACAGGAACCAGGCTGACATGAATCAAGCAGAAATTACCAGCTCCTGCAAGAACATTTAGGTCGGTAAACAACAATGTTTAGCCAAAAACTCTCAAGAGCAAGTTTACTTATATCAAACATGGAGTAACCTTACCTACTCGGTAAGAGAATTGACCAAGCGCCTCAATAAATGGCATAGATTCAATATCCCCTGCATTGATATGATTTTAGTCCACCCAGAAGCAGGAAAACAATAGCCACTACCGATGCTATTTACCTATAGTTCCACCGAGTTCAATGACGCAAACATCTGCCGGGCCTTCTTGACCGTCAACTGGTATCATAGCTGCACGTTCTATCCACTCTTGAATGGCATCTGTAATGTGTGGAACCACCTAGGAAACAGCAAAATCTGGTTAAGACTATAATGAACCCAGCACTACAGAAAACCTGAAAGTGAACAAAAAATTAAACCACGGACAATGCTAAGTCCAGTTGAATAAGAATAGTAATAGTTGCAAAGCTCTAACTTTTACAAGATCAAATTGCTTAACAGACCTGGACCGTCTTTCCGAGATAATCGCCTCTTCTCTCCCTGTCAAGAACTGACTGTTAAAACACCAAGAAATATGTTAAATTTAGGAAGGCGTATTGCTTGATTCTCAAAGACATCCATATACAAAATGCAAGAAATTTGATGAGTTAAATACCTGATAGATTTTCCCGGTTGTGATGTTATTATCCCGAGTTAAAGTGATGTCAAGAAATCTTTCGTAATTTCCGAGGTCCAAATCCACCTAAGAAACAATTTCCGACGAACCTTTTACTCCGTTGCCAGGGGAAAATTCTCGAGAACATGGGCAGAGAAGCAAAGAGCGGGCATATGCTCGATAAGCAAGTGCAAGTGTGCAAACGAGACATGTAGGTCAATCACATGCACAAGGACTGTTACCTCGCCACCATCATCTAAGACAAACACCTCGCCATGCTCGAAAGGGGACATAGTCCCGGCATCGGTGTTCAAGTAAGGATCTGAAAAGCATCATAGAACAAGAAGAGACAGTTGAGGCAAAGAAGAGAGAAAGAGATGGCAAGGCAGACAGGGAGCCGACAGAGGGGGGTACCAATCTTAATAGAAGTGACGCGGAGGCCGCAAGCTTTGAGGAGGACCCCGATGCTACTGGCAGTGACGCCTTTGCCGAGGCCGCTGACGACTCCACCGGTGACGAGGACGTACTTCATCGTCTCTGGCAAAGAAAAGACCCATGGGGCGCGCTTAACGTCAGTCGAGCTTTTGTCAATGCGGAAGGTATTTACGTAGCAAGTCAAGAGGACAAGAGCGAGCGGTTTGTTGGTGGGGATAAAAACCAAAGGACAAGGCACGAACAAAGTGGATAGACATGGATATGGATGTTTAATCTATCTGTACACGCACAAGAGAAAAACCACAAGACAAGGAAGAAGCGGGCCGTTGGGTGGGATGGGGTGGGATGGGAACGGAGAAAATAATAAGAAGAAACCTTGTTTAGCTCACAATGGCGGTTGACACAAGGCCGCTTCCTCCGACCGTTGCTCCGGCTTGCGTCAGCGGAGACGTAGACAGTTAAGTACCGTCTCTCTCTCTCTCTCTCTCTCTCTCTCTCTCTCTCTCTCTCTCTCTGGCTCTGTGTTTTCTCTCTGTCTCTCCCTGGCTGCAGCGCGGGCGCTCGCTCGCTCGGTGGCTGGCTGGGCTTCGCTGCTTGTGGTGGTGGCGGCGGGCGAAGGGAGGGTAATGTCCCAACAACTTCTTATTTAGAGAGACGATACGAGACGAGACTCCCCTAGTCGCCGCCCCCTCCTGGTTCTCAAGAGGAAAAGAAAAGAAGAATCAAGAGTTTAAATACCCACCCAGGGATACGCGAAAAGAGAAAAAAAAAAAAACAGGCAACTCCCAGCTCTAATGGCAGCTTCCCAAAGTTGAACCCCGAAGCGTCCCCGAAATTGAGAGGGAGGACTTAGTCTCCACCGTCATATAAAAAAAATCTCATTACATTTTCTTCTTTTGTCATATTCACCGTGTTGAAATGTTAAATGTATTAATATTCTAGGATCGCACTTTTCTATTTTCTCAACTTTCATCGATCTCTTTTTTAAAATTTCATTTACGCACCGCGAGCCTATTAATTCTAAAATTAAATGGGACAATTATAATAGGAAAATTTGTCATTTCAATTATGTGACGTTTAATTCGTTTTTCTTTATTTATAAAACTTAAGAAGTCAATGCATTTGAACCGTTTCATTTACCCCGACGGTACATTGATGATGCTTTCTTGAACCAAATGACCTTGCTTTCGTCAATAGTCCTTGCCCTACTTTTGCAAACAACGGCCATGTGGCCCTCTGCCAAGAGCACGAGGGTTGACAACACCGAGCCAACATCATCCAAATTTGGCGAGGGCTGGAAGGCCCTTATAATGTGGCCTCAAAGGGACCGGTAAAGTTGGGCATCAATATCAATTCTCTTCGACTCTCTCTCTCTCTCAACTGTTCTTTATTCATAAATTTTCAGTATATTGACATGGAATACATACACGTGTCTAAAAAAAATCACTCATTCAAATTCTGATCCAAAAGGGTCTTTGGAAACACGTGAAAAGATGTTAGGTAGATTAACTAATGAAAAAGTGGATGGATTTTGCAAGATTGAGGATTCAAATGAAAGAAGTAAAAGTCTCGGGACGAGACAAGTTTAAGAATCTTTGCTACAACCGTCTCGTTTTCAATTTTTTGACGAAACGAGTCATGCTACCAAGTGACAAAAAAAAAGGATAAAAGTGATTAAAAATCTCAAATCATATTTATTGTGATACTTAAAATTTCAAATGTATACGTATGTGACACATACATCTTTTGTTAAAGTTACATCAATGAAGATCGTTAAAAATATGTTTATATGGACACCGAAAAATTAACGGTATTGATAATGGTACACACACAGCTTCAATGAAATAAAAATGCCCTTGTGTTGACTTAAAAAAAATTCAGAATAAATGTACAGAGGATACAATTTAGTAATTTTTGGAAGAAGAGACCTGCTTGGCGGCAGCAGAAGAGTCTCTAATCTTAAAAGAAAAAAAAAGTAGGGTTTCTTCACAGGAGTTGCGGCCGGGGGTCGAGTGGTGTCTAAGTTCGTTCACTGCGGCGCCGACTGAAGCGGGAGAGTCAAACGGGGAACGTCGGGAGGGTCGGAGGCTCCGACTGCCGACGCGGTGAACCAGCTTAGCATCACCCCGACCTCAGCTTTCTCCTTCTTTCGTCACCTCGATCCCTGTGGCTTTCCTCTCGACCCTCCCACCTATCTTCATCTTTTTTCCTCAGCACTCTGTACGAGCAGCACGATTTTGTAGTAATTGTATAATCAACCCCTCTAATTTGGTTACATTAGTTGTTCTTGTGCCCATGGGTGGGCTTGGGCTTGTTTTGGCCCCCCAACTTTTGGCTCCAACTTAAAGGAAGACGTTGAAATTGTTAGAATTATAGTGTACTTATCTTTCTTCAGATGAATTGGCTCCGATTACAATTAACTTATTATGTACTTTTGTAACATGCTTATCAAGATTTGAGGTGTTCAGTATTGAAATTTTCATCTATCCCCATTCTCTGATTAGAAAACCCACAGTTTCCCCCTGTTTTAGATTGTTTAATTTTCCAGTTTGGTTAATGACAAGCTCTATAAGCCATATTGTTTGATCTGGCTTGATTTTGCTTCTAGAAACACCAGATGGATTAATAACATCTTTAACGGGAAGTGTTGGCATTAACATAAGAAGGGATGTGGGCTTGTGATTCCTCTGAAAGACAGAGGACGTTATAAGAATTAAGACCTTGTGACATAGCCTCCTATGGCGACATAGCTGCTGCAATACTACTCTGCATCAGTTTTAAATGTTGATTTCTATGCAAAAACTAAGGATTAGCTTCCCAAGTAAGGACTAACGAATAGTTTTGACATATTCATGTTTATTTCATTTTCCATGTTCTGTATATACTTTGAAAATGTCGAGATGTCATGGCCAGCCTCTGAAACTTGTTGGCCAAAGGAATAATTAGTAATTTCAAACCATTTGGGCTACTTGCGAAATTATTGGGTCAAGAGTTGGAAAGTACAGCATTTTGGATGGTCATTGAATTCCTTTTTTTTTTTTTTAGACTAAGATATCCTCTACACTTCTCTAATTCATCCATTGCACTTGCATGGCAATCATTCTTTTCATCCTGCAAAACGGTGACAAGATATAGGAAGTGCACTGTTAGTTTATTTGGATCTTTTGTTCTCACTACCACTTTATTTATACATTAAAAAGGGATCAACATACTCGATTTCTTACCTTCTTCCATAAAAAGCAAGAGAGAAAACGAACTTTCGGTCTTTGTTTATAAGGCTTATTACTCCCATTTTGAGCTTAGTTCCATTTGTTGACCACATATTATTTGCAAAAAGCATAGGTAGGGGATATGCCTGTGTGTTTCAATCAGTCTAAAGTTAGTGGTATACCAATTTCCTGGTCTTTGGTGTTGATTGCAGTGGAAAGTTTCACCAAAATCTATTGCTAGTATTTCATTTTTCTTTTCAATTTTCTGGGTGCTCATTATGTCTCCTTGTTTGTGGCTGTTTGTGACAGTCCTTTTTTCCTGCACAGCATTTCTTACGAAATGTTGAAGTTCCTATACCTTCTTCCACCTAAGTATTGCGGCCTTCACTTGAACTCCAGGTTGGCTAATCATGGCGAACGATTGTATTACTTATAAACAATGCTAGAACATAGATGATGGATCCACTCCTTTAATACCAAAAGTAGTATTTTTTAATTTCTTATTATGGGAAAGAAGAATTAGCGTGCTTAACTTCTCTAGATGCCGTTCATCAATGAAGGTGTTCTGTTAGATGAAGTTAAGGAAAAAAAATGTTTTTCTTCAATTGGAGTTTGGTTTTCTTTTGGCTTCATTTTAAAGTTAAAGATTCTTGTTTCTATCACTGGACTAAGCCTGAAACATGACATAAGTCAGTCACAGTTTCAGTTTGATGTTTCCGAAATTTCATAGCATGACTATTCATACTTATTTTCCCTTCTGCAGTAAGTTGCTCAAGAAATGTATAATTTCTTTTGTGGATGTTTGGGGCTCAAAAAAGTTACAAAATTTGTCAATATTTTTTTCCTCTTTGTGATCCTGTGGTGTTTTTGGGCATGAGTTCCTCCTATTTGCTTATCATTAAAAAAAACAGAAGTTCCTGATATTTGCTTTTAATATTGATAACATATTGATAACTGAGCATTGGCATCTTGCTGTTGCTCTAATGAATGATTGAGACCTAAGAGTTTTCATGTGATGGCTGGTGGCTGGGACTTCACACCTTGTTCAGGTAAATGCTGTAATATAAACAGTGTTTTTTATGCCTGATTTTGGAAATACAGCAGTAATTTCTTCACTATGGTTTCATTCCACCATCTGTGACCTCCCGGTGTTGTTGAACTTTCAGAACAGTACTATCCAAGTGATCATGCTCTGCCGGATATCAAGGTGAGGACAATTGGTATGCATTTTAACTTATGTCAAAGATGACTTTAAAAAGTAAGCCTAGGTTAAAATTGATGTCAATAACCTTCATGTGCTTTGGGTTACCTTATCTTGTTTCTTTTTTTTTTATTATTGAATAAAAGTCCCCTCTACTGTCTAAAATAGACAACGTGCTCTCCATCCATCAACTGTTAGGTTTTTCATTTTATTAAATTTGCACGGGTGACCTCTTATAAATGTCTCTAAGATATGAGCTTAACTTATAATTATCCCACGTTTAAGGGATGAACTTACTTTTCGCACAAAAAGTTTACAGATTAGATGATGATAGCATAACCAGTCCCAGAAAGGGGATGAACTTGTTGATTTCTTATTATAAGGGGAACTCTTCAACAAAGAGTATAGGGTGGCAAAAATAAATAATTAAAGGGAGTTTCAAGACATTTTTGAGCTTTAAGTTAATAAACCACAGGATTAGAGAACAAGAGCGAGTGTTTTGGTAATAAAGAAGTTTCTACATCATTAAGTATATATATACGATATGGATCAAATGGAGAAATGATAGTTCTTAGTTGGCATCTTAGTCCAACTGCTTTAGGATGACTTGTGATGTTGAGTGGGCTTGCATCTCTACTATTACATATGTAGACCACTCGCATCACGGTCTAGCAGAGGGGGTACTGGAGAAATTGTCAGGTGCTCTTGTGCGCTTCATTCTCATTTGTTGTCAAGTATTATAAACTTTGCTATTATACTTCATATAATAATACCTGGCACTCTCCATGAGCCTGTAAAATCGTTCGGGATGAGAGTGACAATGATGGTTTTATTCCATTCGAGTAGTTTCTCAGTCTATACTACATAGTTTTTCATTTGATTGTTTTCATTTGAATCAAACGATTTACTATCATGCACTTTCTTGTATCAACTTAATCTATCAAAAAGATCTTCTGCAAAAGATGGCTTGAACATTGGCCCACATAATGACTGTGAACCTTTCAAGTATATCGACTTTTTTCTTGTCGTGAAGGTCATTTCACTTACATCTGTTTTCCAGACTTAGTTGTTTCTGTCATTACACAGATACCATCACTTGTCAATTCATTTGTCTGCACTTTCTGCTAACCTTTTCAAACTCATCGTGACTCTAAGTATTCATTGCCTCAGCTTACTAAATTTACTCAACTATGAACTCTGAAGTGTCATAGATGCTAACATGGAAAAGGGGAACATGATTCATCAACTATGATCTGTGAAGTGTCATGTGTAGACCTAAGGTTCGAACAACAAATTAGATCTACTTTGTCAGTCTTGTGGCGTGTTATAAATCATCCCTTGAGTTTTACCCTTATTTCCAATCCTTGTCCTTGGACTGTTATGATCCGTTCCTCATGAGATCTTTGCACTTAACGAGTTGATGACATGAGAACAAGCCCTAAATTGAGATGGACCGACGCAAAGGGATCTTCTCTTACATGCAATGGTTTGGAGGGGATGGGCCAGCATTTACTACTCATACATATATACATATATTCTCAGAGTCCGTCTTCGTACATTGAACAGTGGCTTTAACCTCAAATATCTTTCTGAGGCTCAATAGAAGTGCAGCCAGTGTGTTCTCTCATCCTGGACGAGTAATCACGTGTACAATCTGAGCCTGCTAGTGATTGGCTGGCGACATATGGGACAACTGGACAATCTTCGTTCGCATTCTCCGCAAGTCTGCAATTAATCATGTTCACTGTATCAGTAAGCCTAGGAAGGAGAGCTGTAGTTAACAATAGCAAAAACACTTTCAAGAAGCTTCACCATGTGACCGCAACCAAATGCCATGTTCTTGGGATTTGTCAGGCAAACAGGGCACACCTATACAGAGAACAGGCAGATGGAGAAAAGAGGTAGTGAGCAATTTTCTCAGTATAGGAAAGTCATCTGATATGTTGCCGTTTTTAAGATATTGTCAATGAGTCCCATTGCTAGGTAAAATTATGTTGTGGAGTCTGGACCCAACCTACTTATTTGCTAGAGCCAGGGATCCATAGATAACTGTGAAAGGAAACTACTCCTGGGTTTATTTCTTCAACGACTGCATGCCATTTTGGTTTATCGCAGGACCAACTTCCTTGCATTGTGTAATGGAATACCCCCAAAGGATTATATCGGAAAGATTTGGCGGAATGCTTTCAATATCATAGATTACTCTGAAGTGTCTCTTGAATTGATAGATTAGACCTGTGTGCCTCTCACCTATCCATTCCAGCAGCACTTTCCAGCTCAAAAGACTAACAGATGAGAAAACAGAACTCGCAACCTTTGTCATCTTTACCTGGCTCTGATGGTCATCAGCTGAGGCAGAGAGGTTGGTAGGCATTCTGATTATGCTATCACTGTGCGAAACTCCCACTGGTGGAGGACGTGGAACCACCCTTTTTGCTTTGCCCCTAGCATGCCTTTTTGGTCCGATAAAAGTAATGGACATTCAGATTACGGTGGGATGAGCAAACAATAAATTTGTCACTAGATTTAGTTAAGTCAATGCAATATCATGATTCATGAACCTCAAGGTTTTTGGATGGTGTTGCTATTTAATGGAATGAAAAGATGCTGAATTTGGTAACTGGGAGAAAGGTCTGGGATGCAGACACATACCCAAGCAGTCTAAGCTCGAGTGTGGCTTTGTACTGGAAGGGAATCTCCATGAGAGCAGCAAGAGCGAACGCCGTTTCTCTCTCCGATGGACTTCCGCTTTTAGACATGGTGGTAGTGAAATTCACAAACTGCTCAGACCCAAAAATTTTCTTTAATGAAGTGTTCGAATCCGAAATTTCTTCTTTTTTTTTTAATAATCCAGAGGCCTAGACACGAAGACCTAGCCACTCGAGACCCGTGAAATATTCTGTAAGCTTTATAAATTGATTAAATTAGTTTGTATGCAGTTGGTGAGATTCAAACGGGTGATCTCCACTTCCTAAACTGAAAATCCCTCCACCAACCCTGGCAATGCTATGATTTTAAACTCCCAATTGATAGAAGTGAGTGAGAGTAGGAGTAGGAGCAAGAGCAGGGGATAACCTGAAAATTATCAAATTCACGCGTGGGGATCTTGTCATCAAACTTTCGCATGTCTTCCCAAGGCCCATCTCCAACTCCAACAAGGACGATTGAAAGTGGGTAGAAGCTAGGAATAGAATATCTTCGTCAGAACTTACACTTCTTTCGTATTCACTTAGTCTCTACCATAAGCATAATTGAAGGACTGTACACTAATTTTGCAAAATTCTCTGCTACAGCCAAATGAAGAATTTTGGCCGCAGAAAGAGTTTCTTTTCACGAGGTTATAGAGCCCATGCTCCTCTTGTAAAATATGATTATAATGCGTTTCTGGTTTATCTACACTTATCTAGAGTTGATAGAAAGAAGGAACAAAGCTCCAGTTCTACCTTGCTTCCACAATTGAGCCAATGGTTCTCTCTTCTTGTGGACTGAGCTCTTCATCCCTTGTATTCACACTTCTTGTGACCTGTGTGGTGTTTCATTCAATTATTGTTTTTCATTTGTATGAAAATCTTTGAGTGGTCTCAGTCTATCATCTGTAATTAGACATGTCAAACAAATGGGTTGGGTCCGATCATAAACGATCCGACCCAAATTAACCCATTTATTTATAATGTAAATTTACCGACCCATACTCGACCTGACACATACCCAACTCATACCCGACCCGACTCATATTGCTAAAACACTTCGATATTTATCACAATCTAGGAAAACTTGTTTCTTATGATTTTTTTTTAAAATTATATTGCTAAAATATTTCCATGCAATACAAATCTAGTTGACAATTTTTATAATTTTTTTGTAAAATTGAGGCTCCGTTTATTTCACGGAAAATGTTTTCCATAAAGTCATTTTCCAAGAAAAATGATAATATTTTTCGGTATTTGGCTGAAACCTGAAAATGAACTAGAAAATATTTTCCACATTTAGTATATAAAATCTTATTTGATTTTACTTCGTGCACTCATTTTAATAATTTTGCTTTTTCTTTTTTTTCTTTTTTTTCTTTTTCCTTTATTTTTGGTCGGTGGCCCGCCATGGCCGACCGGCCACAGCCAAGGGGCGAGCTCGTGGATCTGGCGAGGCTCGACCTCGCTCGATTCTGGTAAGCTAAGCCTCCCCAATCTCGAGTGAGGCTCCACCTTCCCAAATCTGGCGAGGTCGAGCTTGCCTGAGGCCGATGAGCTCGAGTCTCGCCAAATCGGCGAGCTCGAGCTCAACCGAAGCCGGCGAGGTCACCCCTCACCTATGGCCGGTCGCCGACCAAAAATAAAGGAAAGGAAAGGAAAGGAAAGAAAAAATAAAAGAAAAAGAGAAAAAATAATTATAATTATAATTTCGATTTTTTTAAAACATATATTTTTATAAAGAGGGAGAGAGTGTGTATAGGCCTAGTGGATTGGAAATGGGTTATAAACTTAACCCATTTAGATCCATTTATTTTAGCTTTACATTTTAAAATCAATTTAAGATAGACTCTTTAAAATTGAAGTGACCTATATATGACCAATTTATTTCTTAAATGGGTCATACGTAGATTTAAGACTCATTTTGACAGGTCTATCTGTAATACACTATTGATAATATGAAGACTTACAAAAGACCTAGTTAAACCTTTGTAGCACGTGATCTATATCACCTAATTGGTTAGATTCATCAGTCCGAATCTAGACAAGGGCTGGAAGTCATGCCGGGGCATTGCATTTGTATTGATACCTCAACATGTATTTTCCCTTGTGTATCTCTTGCCTGTCTATTGGTTTTCCTCTCCCTCCTTTTGGCATGGCGTGAATGCAGGTGGTCGCGCCACCCTTTGGGGTGGAGAGAGAGAGAGAGAGAGGTGATTCATGTTCAAACCTGGCCATCTGCAATGATAACTAATATATGGAACTGGCCGCCACTTCTCTCCACAATGTCCACGGCAGCCTCAACTATCGGTCCGTAAGATGTTGGCCCTAATTGATAAATTACAAAACAATGTGCTTAATACTAATCCAGAGAGAAAGGGAAGTGACAACTATAAACATGCCAGGAATCACCAACCTGAAAGTTTCAAACTCGGAACTATTTTCCTATAGCAGGCCAAAACTTCTTCAAATCCGCGGCAGGGGGAAATGATCACTGTGAAAGCTGAATACTTCTCGATCATGAGTTGTGACTAAGAGAGTTGGGGTTAGGGAGATTAAGATGGTGAGACGTAGAGACACCAGACAGGATTTAGGAAGTGAATACCATGATATAGGAGTTTTAAAAAAAAAAAAAAGGACACGCGTCCATCATACCATCCCCAAAGCCAAAGCAAGGAATTAAGTTGTCTTCGTCTAATGGAGCCAAAGTCTTGCCAACGATAGAGATGGCTGTCTCATACGGATTCGGTACATCTCCAATGCTATGCAAGCTTCGGTCGTTGAATGAGACCTTGCCTTGATAGCATTCGATTTTGTTAGATGATAAAAACCAGGTTCTAACTAATTAAATTAACTGACTTTCAAGGTTCAACACATCTTATAAAACCTGTCCACTCATTGCTTTTGGTGAAATCTATGCCGAGGATAAGATTGGAGGACTCCAGTCCAGCTTCTCTTAAGGCCGCCGTGACCTTTACCAGAAACATCCGTAGTTTAGCACAGCACACTGAGAAATCAATCGTTTGCACCCTACTGTTTTACTACTGATACTTGGAGCAAACCACAGTCGCACCATACAGTTCTTCTTCGGTATGAGGGTTCCGTCATCTCAGAAGGGAAGAAAGTACCTGATCAAGGGACGAGAAGTGATCCGGAATGAAGGCATATCTTTGCTGGGCGGATGAATTCATTTGCTTCTCTTTCTGATGGTCAAGAGATCTTCTTCTGCTTATGCTTGGGCTTCCGGTGGCGGCAGGACAGCGGTGGTGCTGCCCGCAACTCGTGAGAAGAGAAAAGAAGTTGCCCATATCTTGCACTGACTTTGCCCAGAAGGAGAGTCTGAAGAAGGCATAATTGAGACGCTGGGCGTGAAGGCAAAGGAAGGAACAAATGTGTCCGGTGGCCCTGTCACAGCAACCACTTTTTCCCGCTTTATTATCCTTTTCACACAGCCACCAAAATAACCCACTTGACGTTCACGCTAGGACTGGGAGTAACTGTATTTCGGGTCTTTCTATGATTATTCATACTTGGAGGACTAATGGATGTCGTGTGACTGACAACACCAATTCGGAGATCCTCAAGCTCACACGACCTAGACAAATTACATGAGCTCTGCTGCTTATTTCTGTTGGGTCCGAGTCAACTTATAGCTCAAGCATCGGATCTCGATGGAGTCGAACATCACCTCCTTACTTACTTTAACTCTAGCAGCTTGGTACTTTGCATCTTTGAACTTTGGGCGTGTCCCATGGATAATCACATGTAAGGAAGTGGAATTCTATTGTTCCTTGCCAAACGATACGGATTAATCTCCGTGTAAGCGAGTTTCAATAGATGTTGGTAAGTGTAAAAAAATAGTTGGTATGAGAATATGACCGACGTTCGTTTTCCATATAACTTGTTACTAACTTACCAACATTTTTACGAAATTACCAACTTCTTTTGATACTTTGCAAATTAACAGTTTTTGTACTAACTCGTTAACTTTTATTTGTATAAAACTATCAAGATTTCAAATTCATTAGCTCTTGCATGAAATTACCAACATAAATTAGAGGGATTTACAAACTTTTGTCAAATTAAATTACCGACCACAATTGGATTACCAACTCTCATTTTAGTTACTTACTAACATTTTGTTGTTTTCTTTAATTTTCTGACTTTTGAATTGAGTTACCAATTCTTATTTGTCTTGATTAGCAACCCCTAACATCTAATAAAATCTTTTTAGATATTACAATCCTAAAACTAGTTGGTAACTTAATCGAAGAAAAGTTGGTAAGTCACACAATAAAATGTTGCTAATTTCATTGATCAATTTAATGTGTTGTGAATAAAAGTAAATAAAAGAATTTTTTTTGGAGATAAAAGAGTTGGTAATTTCAAAATAAATAAAAAAACAAAATAATGTAACTCAAATAGGAATTGATAATGCAAAATTAGTTGGTAACATAATCGAAGAAAAGTTGGTAATCACTGGAATGGAGGTTTATAATCTCTAAGAG